CACAGATAATGGGGAAAAAATAAGAACCAAGATACATCATGTACAGGTACAAGCACCCAATGATAAATGTAAACATACTGTATACCTAAAATGTATCAATAAAAGAATTAAAAAAAAATTCCCTGTGTTAAAAGATTATTATGTGCATCTAAAATGTACCAATAAAGTAAAAAAAGATAGTAATAATCACATTAATATCCTGCCTTATTAAAAATAAAGGACATCTGGGGCCAGGGATTTTGCTCAGTGGTTCTGGCACCCTCCTTGCAAGTGCAAGGTCCTGAGTTCGGTCCTGAGTTCGATCCCAAGTTCCATTCCCAGTACCAAAAACAAACAAACAAACAAACAAAAAATAAAGGACATCTTTATTCTTCTCCCACGCAGTTAGGCATTTAACACAGGTTAATAGCAGTATTCCCTAACTTGTACCATACCAAAGGTTTTTCATGAAATCCATACCTCTCCAATCTTAGATGCTCTACGAAGAAAGTGCAGGGGGAGTGGGCGACCCAGGCCAAAGTTTAAAACTCTTAGAATCTTCATTTCCATTTGTCTGATCTGGTGCTTAGTGTAAGTATTGTTAGTCACGTAAGCAAAGTCTCCAATTTCTGGAGGGTACATTTCTTCATATTTGCTTGCAATGAACATGGCAGTGACTCCAACCAGCTGCAGCATCTTCTTGGGCACACAATTATTCTGCAATGGCAATTTTCACTGGGTGAATAAAAGTACTTGACAAGGAGATGTATTTCCACAGCCCACCTCAACTAACGACACCTTATCCCCCGACAAAGTACAGTCTCTTATGATTCAGCTGGAACCCTGGAATAAAGAACCCTCAATTACTGAATTATAGCTGGGTGTGGTGGCACATGCCTGTAATCCCAGCACCCAGAGAGGGTGAGGCAGAAAGATTCCAAGTTTGAGGACACCTTGGGTAATTTAGCAACATTCTGCCTCAAAATAAAAAAGGGTTGGGAATGTAGCTTAGTGTAAAAGCCTTGGGTGCAATCCCCACTACACCAAAACAAAAAAAAGGAATAAAGATAAAATTGGGCTGGGGATTTAGGTCAGTGGTTTCACTGTGCAAGGGCCTGAGTTTGATCCCTGGTACCAAAAAAAAAAGATAAAATTGAAATATACTTACCTGCATGAACCGATCAATAATGGAAACAGTCATGTACATGGTCTCCTGAAGCAACCTGAATTTCATCTGAACCTGTATTAGCCAGTCAATTAGGATGGCTCTCATGTTTCCAGTGACTTCACGACCCAGTAGGTATTTTGGTCTGACTGACTGCTCTTCCTGCAAAAGAAAATGCTATCTATCCTTAGAAGCACAGATTCATGTGACTTGCATGTCCAGAACAACACGTAGTCATCACAGAATGGCTCTCGGGCATTTAAACTTAATAAAAGATTCTGATTCAATTATTCATGTGGTCACTATAAACAGCTTCATCACTGAGAAAAAGTGGGGCAGGTTTTACACACTGTCATATCTTACTTATAATGTTCCATTTACCACCCCTGCTGCGGGCTCATATTCTGTATTGACCTTGTTCCCAAAAGACACCATGCTGTCAGCATGGATCTTCCCATTCAAGACTCTAAAGCCAGAATCTGACTGAGCTTTAGAAGTGGAAAAGATATCAGTAACCCCCAAATTTGCCACAACTCATGTGTACTTCGTTCCTGGTCCAGCATAAAAAACTCAACACCAGTATAGCTACAGAGAAAAATGAGATAGGCGTGGTGGTGCATGCCCATAATCCCAGCTACTCAGCAGGCTGAAGCAAGAGAATTACAAGTTCTAGGTCAGCCTGGGCAACTTAGCCAGACCCTGCCTAAAAGAAAAGAAAAAGAGGGCTGGGGATTTAGCTCAATGGCACTGTGCCTGCATCGAAAGTGCAAGGTCCTGAGTTCAATCCCAGGTACCAAAAAAAAAAAAAAAAAAAAAAAAAGAACAAGGAAAGAAAAAGAGCTGGGATGTTCCTTAGCACTCCTAAGGTTCAATCTCCAGAATGTAAGGCT